TGTTACAAAAGGACAACTGATATTACAAACTTTTAAAAACTGTTATGGCCAGAGGTCTTTCTTCTATGTTTATACTAAAGCATGGAATGACATTCCTCAAAACATAAAGTCCATTTCAAAACTACAGCCCTTTAAGAAGAATCTTGTCTGCCATCTGCTGGACACTTTTTGTTGTGCTAATATTTAGACGTCCTATTTTGRAAATGCTACCTTCGTGAAATTTGGTATGCTTGTTTGTCTTTGTGTCTATGGTGTATAATGATTGTGATGCTGTATTTCTGAGTGTTTTATGTGCTGCAGAACAGGAACCTGCTGTAAAACAGCAATTATGCTGAGTCAGGCTTGATTTTTAGTAATCTTTTCCTGTTGAATCAATAAATCAAATCAAATGAAATCAATCACTACAGAAAACCCAACTCAGCCTAATAATATGAGAGTTTTACACATTTTCAGATTATATTTGGACAGGTGGTACTAATTTAATTTTAGGCAAACGTCATGAATAATTCAATTGAAATAATTGGTAGTTCAACTGAGAATTGGCAGTTCTGTGACCGAGCAGTGATTTGTAAACACTAAATAAATATTCCATTAATTTTTTATTGGCATATTTTCAGGCCCAAACAAAGTTACAAGGTTGTGTCATGTTTTTAATTTTGACTTTTGTTCTCAATAGATCTTCTATAAGAATATATGAAATTTAGTGTCTCAGCCGTTAACATCTGCCCATGCATTTAGCTAATTACAGAACTGGAAGGATTAAACCCATAAATTGTGTTTTCTAACGCTGGATAACAGCAGTAGCTTTGCCCTCTCCTTAAGCTACATTTTCTGTCCTTCCTTCACTTAAGAAATTTAATCAAACATGGCCTCTTGTGTTATTTAATTTACCAGCAGTCAAATGTTCCAAGGCAGCCTTGGCATCGATAGTGTCTCCCAGTGCCTCGTTGATCTTTGAATTTGGACATTTATGTGGCTTTATGCGTGCCATTAACTGCCGTGATGTGCCTCACTGCATAAAGTACTGCACATGAGCCATTGTTTTTAGACAGGCTAAAACAAAAGCTGTAATTGTAAATAAATTTATGAAATGGAAAGCAAACGTTGCCTTTCAGTTGTCTGTCATGATGGTTGAAGGAAGTTGTATATTAATTTTCTTTACTCTTCACAAACTATAAACTGCTAGATTAAAAATAACCCAGTTTGTTGGACCAAACCAGCACTTTGTAGTTTTAACTCAACAGGGTTAGGTTATCAGATTGACCCAGCATACTGGATTAAATACTTCTTTTATTTTCTCTCGGTGCTGCAAAGATGTCTTTATGTACTTTTGGGTTATATTTTTAAACCTGTTCAGTTTTCAATATTTTCTATTATGTTTTCTGAATTATTACATCACAGTATTTGCGAAGGAAGTTCTAAATAAGGTCTGGATTTGCCAACTACAATTTGGTGGCCTTCACTCTCCATGGCTCTGGGTCAGACTCTGGCTCCAACATGCAAGGCAGGATGAACAAGTCTTCCCTTGTTGACCAAGCTGAAGGGGGGCAGAGTGTGAAGAACCTCGTTTGGTTTTAAAGAGACAGCCTTAAAACGAGTTGATCAGAGAGACACCTCAGGAGTGGGGCTTGTGGAGTTACAATAAGGAGGAATTCAGACCAAGTTCCACTTTCTATAGACCCCAACTGAATGACTTAAAGTGAACATATGGTGCTTTTAAATCCTTCTTTTTCACATTTAAGTTTTCTATACAGAAACTGGGTTAAAATGACTTATTTGTTTAATACAAGCTTCTACGAGCAAGTTCAAAAGATGAATCTAAAATGTTTTTATTGCAACTTGAGTTAGTGCTTCAACATTTGGCTTACAATGGTGAACTCTTAATCACTTGGACTTTTTTTAAACAAATCAGATCAAACCAGCCTAATCTCTGACCCAACAGCTTTAAAACACTTTAGCAGTTTTTAGTCTGTGCTACTACTATTGATGTATATATTTTTCATACCTGCCATGTTTTTAAAATATTAACATTCAACTTGTACGYCTTCGACCTAGAGTTTTGACCTGTAAGCAAGATGCTGAATCTAGGCTGTTTTTTTTTTATCTACCTGAGCCTGTGTGTTTCCCAGTGAGGTTCTGGAAACTCTCATGAAAATTTAACAACAATCAATATCAGTATTTCTTTAGTGTACACCCAGCTGGAAAACTCTTTATGCTGACGTATCATCAAGTCGCTGAAAGGTGGATTGCTTTTGAACTTTAAAGTGCTTAGCCAGAACCTTGTCAGCAACGCCTGTCCCAGAACTCAAACCAATAGACCCCGACCGCACCAACAATATATCAGCTGGATGAAGAGTTTGTGCTGAATTCTGTAGAACATGTTGTTTAATAACTACCAACTTTTCTTTAATGTGGTTTRATAGTTTGTAGTTGTTGAGTCGTAATGCTTTTTGGCCCTCCATCTTTTGGACCACCTGCCATGAACACTAATCCTAAAAGCACCATCATCGCACTGACAGTTGTTTTAGTTTTATTAGTAAATGTTGGAGTGTTGCCTTCCTGATATTAATCATGTAATAAAAAATATATGGGATCTTGATTAAATATGGAGCTTACACTAAACCTAATATTCTAAAGTGATGATGAGGTATTGTGGTAGTCCAGAAAGCTGTTATATTTTGGACATCAAAGCATTTGTCATGCATTAAATCACATTGTACTTACAGATGTACACAAGTTTTTTTTTCTGGATTTTAAAGTAGAGCTTTGACAAAATTATAGTCTAATCTAGCAAAAAACAAACCATGAGACCAATAGTCATTAACAGCATATAGCTTTTTTTCACCATTTTTTTTTTATTATTACAAAGTTTCTTTGTGAAATTCTGTGACTCAGTCTCTGATTAACACTCACATGTCACCAAAATGGATTTTTTGTCACATTTTGCTTTTGAAAACGTTGCTGAGATTCTTAAATCAAAACCAAAGACTAGAGGGTAAATACTCTAAAGTCAATTGTTTTGTTAGTTGAACTTGGCACGTTTTTCAYGAGAAAACATTTGCCTTGCTTTTGAATCTCAGAAATTCAAGTCTTATAAGGGGTGATAAAAAAATCTATTTAAAAATGATTTGCCAGACTTTGGATATTGTAACCTTGTGGAGAATAATAGTTTTAATTCTGACTAAATAAATGAAGAACTTCTTTTTTTCAAATAATTAGCAACCACTTGTGAACGAACAGTTTACAGCCCACTTATTTTTATTTTATTTTATTTTTTTTACAAACCTGTTACAGGTTCTTATCTGGAGTCCCACATTCATTGCTTGAATGTGCTTTACAAGAAAAAGTTTAATCAATTTAATCAGCAATGTAATGCAAACAAAATAAATAAATAAAAATATTTCAACTTGTGTAAGTGTTAAGGCTATGACCTGCATGTTAGAAAAGCAGCTTTAAATTGGCAAACATTAGCAACAATTACATTTTAACCTGGTATATAACAGTAGTAGTAGTAGTAGTAGTAGATATAATATTTAAGGATTTTTACAGTATGTCAATCATTATTTGTTGGTATATCACATGAATTATTATTTCTTGTAATCAGGCAGGATTGAGATAAAAACAGTCTTCAAAGATAACATGTTCTATTACTTTGGTGCAAGTGACAACCAGGAAACAATTTAAAATTAGACTTGAATGTTAAATGCAAGAAATAAAGTTATACAATACCAAGCTGGACCAATCAACAGATTGTTTATTCAGTCATAGGTTTTAGCCCTGAAGTCATTCTTACAGATCTGGCCTCTCCTCAGGGGCAAGACATCACATCGATTGGGCGGGCCTTCCTGTCACATGACCAGATCCTTAGATAATAATAACACTTTATTGGAAGGGGTGTGCATAAGATTGTAGTGTTGTATTTTACCGAATGACATCAAAAAGAAAAAATAAGTAGGTCCTCTGGATGGGTTCTTCTTTAGTGAAACGTTTCGTCTSTCCTCCAAGAGACCTCTTCAGTCTGAGTTTCAGGTTAACTCAGCCTTATAAGCACTGCCTCCACATGGTGGACAAACAGGTTAGTCACATGCAAAAGAGGGCCATCGCCAAACAATAGACTTGATTAGTTCTATTGTTCATAGAGGGTCATGTGCCCCATCGTCTGACCCGTGTCGTGTTATGTGTATGTAGTGAACGCAAGCGGGGGTTCAACCTCCCCATGTTGTTGTCCCTCTTTCCCTCTTTGTGTTGGGTACCCAACACAGATTCACTACATACACATAACAGAACACGGGTCAGATGATGGGGCACATGACCCTCTATGAACAGCAGAACTAATCAAGCCTATTGTTAGGCGATGGCCCTATTTTGCATGTGACTAACCTGTTTGTCCAGGTGGAGGCAGTGCTTATAAGGCAGAGTTCACCTGAAACTCATCAGACTGAAGAAGTCTCTTGGAGGAGAGACGGAACGTTGCGAAAAACCCATGCAGAGGACCTACTTATTTTTTCTTTTTGATTTTTTTCTACCTGGATTACTGAGATGCATCAGGACTTACCGAATGACACTTTATGACAACAGTCATAAATATTCATGAAGCCTCCTTCTTGTTCATGACAGCTGTTATGTCAGTTTTATGCACACCCCGTCCAATAATGTGTTACCCAATAATCTAAACCTGATGAGGGAATAACTGTGTTGAGATTTTGTCAGTGAAAAGGTGTGTGTTAACTAATGTAATATAGAAGTACATTCTATTTGAGAAGACTGTGACATGAGTCCTTCAAAGCAGATTGCGCATCAATTTTCACAGTTGAATCATAAAAACAGATAATTACGCAAATAGGTTATTGTAAAATGGCGTAGCTCTTCTAGGTAAAAAAGCTTTTCAACAAAGAGAACTAGCCTCACCTGATTTCAGCTCCAACTTTTCTGCATCATTCTGTCTTCTGTCCGTGTATGTATGTGTAAGATGAGTTCTGCTTTTGTTGCTTCTCTTCCAGGACTGGCTGAGTAAGTTTGGCTACCTCCCGCCCCCCGACCCGGTCACCGGCCAGCTGCAGACCAAGGAAGCTCTGACCAAGGCCATCAAAGCCATGCAGAAGTTTGGAGGGTTGAGGGAAACCGGAATCCTGGGTATGTGGTATGGAACAACACAGCGCGGCGACTTTACCTTATCAAACTGGGGGAAGAAAATATCAGCATTAAAATATAATGCAGTCCTCCCAACCAAAACACAGAGTGGTATTAGAGAGCTCGAATCAATATCCCTGAGACACAACACTGAGAGGTAATATTTATTTCACACTTATTTATCGGGTAGATTTACACTGCACAGCTGTCTACCCACTACAAGACACCATGGAAACATAAATCACACTTTCTGTCACACACAGAGAAAGGAATGACAATACCTCTATGAGCCTACTGTATGTGATTGATGATGCTTGTATGTGTGAAACAGAACAGCATATTYATTAGTGCGCATTCTACTGTTCTCGCTCATGCACCGCACTCATAATTTCCTGTAGTTCATGCTGGCAGTCTGTCCTACTCGTACGCACCACAGTCCTCCCCTGCAAACAGCATCATTCTTTATCTCGGATACGCAATAACAGAAAGTGGAGCACAATGCCATATGTGAGTAATTTTACAAGTAAATGACATGTATTTGGCCCAAACAGTAGTATATGTATTATCATTGCACGTGTAAGAGGGTATATTACAGAGTATGTATGTTTTATGACCTAAATGTCTCCCTAAAACCTCCTGAATGCAAATAGAATGTTTTGAGGAACCGTAGATGCCCAGATGTCGGTTTTTTAATGTGTTTGTTTGTTAGCTAATTTTCTTGTTGTATAAAAGAAATTATAGTTGTAATTACGGCTGTTTCCTTTTATTAACTTGCATCATAATTATCTCTCCTCACCTTCGCCGTCCTTCAGACCAAGCCACGCTCGTTCTAATGAAAACACCCAGATGCTCTCTGCCAGATGTCTCCGACGCCGATGTGACGATGGGGCGCAGGAAACGAAGCCTGAACCCGCCAAACAAATGGAATAAGAGGCATCTCTCCTGGAGGTAAGACAAATTAGGATGTGCTAAACAAAGTGCCTAAAAATAGAAATATGCCAGTATCTAAAATCTGCAGGCACTGTGAATTCTGCTGGGACTACGGCTGGAGTTAGCTCTTATCTTGATCGCTTGTTCCTAGTGTTGGCAGCGAGAAGCATCTTGCTGATGCAGGGCAACCAAATAACAGGCTATGAGTCACTCGTGTTCATGCTCATTTCCATCCTGGAAAGCACAAGTAGCCTCATTTGGGCATTTGCAAACATAAACATGAGTTCTGCAGGTAAATAACCCTGCTGCTCCAGAACTATTTTCAGTCGCAATGATCGCCTGTTGCTGAATGAACCAGTGGACAGATTTGAATGAAACTACCAATAGATGTGCATCTACTACCGAGTGACATTTGGAGACAAGCCAAATCAAAATGGCTGCCACAGCACAAAAATGTCTATAATTTACACAAAATGACAAATAATGAGGTCAAGATTATGTGGTTGTAGCTAAGAGTGATCACCAACATATACCCCAAGCAGCAAACATACGAAGGCTAGACTCTCGTTTTATGTAGCCTACATAGGCTGTGGCCTACATGGGCCATGGTTGTAGGCTGCAGCCCCTAAATTGAGACACGGCTTCTGTCATCCCTAATAGAATGCTGGGTCGTTATTAAAACAGTTGTGTTTTATCTGTTCATACAATCAAATAAAACAATAAAATAGCATTTACATAAACTGCCTTGGTATTTTTCACATTGAAGTTGTTTTAGGACTTTGGCAATCCACTTTGACCATGGCCCCATCATCCATTTCATCAAAATTAAACTCTATTTTTTTCAAACTTGGGTCATTCAAAGAGCTGTTTGCTGCAGGTAAAACATGAATTTGCTCATGACCTTTCCACAGAACTCCATTTAAGCAGGTCTGAGCTAGCTGTTTAAAACATTAGGAACACTCTTTTTGAAAGAAACGGGACTGTTCAGTACAGAGAAGGTAAACCAATACAGTGGAAAAACAACATGCTTGCTACAGGAAGAAAAAAAATCACTAACTTTGGGTAAAATGTATCCAGTTTTTCTCACAAGGTTCCAGAATATAAAAAAATATATAATTAATTTATTTTACACTATAAAAAGAAGAAAATAATCAGCAGATGATTACATAAATCAGTGCATCATCTGTGCAATTATTGAAAKCAGGTTTTAATGAGAGTAGAGCAATTACTTTTTTCACTCCTTCTTTATAATTCATGATAGATTAGATCATTGTGGTGACAATGGACACCTTTTGGTTTTGTGAATAATTGATGAGAGTCTGGTGTGAAAATGGCCTGCTGGTTACAATTAACATAAACACAGCAAAAAAATAAAAAAAAWATATAAACTATCATTCGAGAAATCAGTGGGAAAAGAAGAAAATACCTGAAGTCTATGTGAAGTCTGGGTTTGTTCTGTTTGAGCACAACTGAAGACGTTGGGTGTTTTATGGCTGGTTAAATTATTTCTCTAGTGTTCCCCCCCAGTAGATGCCAACATATCTTTGGTGCGTTTGAAAATTATTGAGCAATAAACTCAAGATGCAGTTGGTTGTGTATGCAAATTTGTTCTTAAATGGGACATAAATGCACTCAGGTGTTAATAGTGAGACACGGTGAGGTCTACAGAATGGTGACGTACGAGCCGATTACCATAAACCGTGTCAGGGGGTGTTTTAGGAGGGAGATGATCAGCTGTGAAGTGGTGTTTCTGCCAGTTTGTTTAATCTGTGTCTATCCTTGCAGCACAAATCAGTGCAGGAGACAGAAACATATAGGCTCTCGGAAGCAAATGTAAACATTTGAGGGGAAAGAAACCCCCCACGAAACTGTAGCTGCGCTTGTGCACATCCACAGAGAGGAACGAGAATACAAAAAAACACCCACACACAGTCTTTGTAGAGGAGATGGGGCTTCTCTGGCAGCTACAAGTTTAAGATCTGATGCTCAGGTGGTATTTTTGAAGACAAAGTTTATGCTCTAAGATATTTACCAGTTAAAGATTCATTAATATGAGGTTTTTGTTGGTAATGAAAATGGTTAACATAATGACACTAATGAAGGAGTTAAGGTGGTGTGAAATTTTTACACAATCCCGAAAGCAGAGATGACAGAAATGGATTTACTGTAAAATGTCAAAACAAATCTAAATAATTAGATTTTTGTTTTAACGGCAAAAACAGGTACCAGATGTGGAGGGTGACCACATAATTAACAGTCAAAGAGAGACTGACGCCGTGATAAATGTAATAGTCAGAGCTTCAGGGTGCGTCAAATGCCATACTAACAGGGACAAATCTATCTAAAAAGAGCCGAGATAACCTACCAAAGGTGTGTGTGGTTGGAGGACGCAGATAAGTGCTTCCCCTGCAGCACGGCAATGCTACATTAGCTTGTTATATTGTGGCTCATCGGCCTGGAGCCAATCTTCTGCAAGCTGCAGCTACCAATAAAATTTCCAAGCCTTCACACTTCAATTAATCTGTGTGCACTTTTTAAAAATAATGCATGCACATATTTAGACCTCACATAATGGAAATAAAAGTTATAGAGTTATAGAGCATAATAAAACTGCAGCAGTAGCAATACAGCAGCATAATACCCAAAAGCYCAGATGATTAGGCCTGACTGTTATAAGCTTTATTTCAGCCAGACTGGCCTGGGTTGATGCAACCAGCCAAGGAGAGATGAGATGAGATGAGGACAGTAGTAGATCTAAGGTAGGACAGAAGGAAACCAAAACCAAGCAGAGGGAAAGCAGGACATCGGGGCGCTGGAGGATTGAAGAAACAGGTCGATGAACAGGAACCTTCAGCTGACTGGGGGGCTGTTGGAGCTGCAGGCTGTTCTGGGTAAAAGCAAAAGTAAAGTAGAGCCTGAAACGATGAGGGAGATCACAAGGTCAGAGGACAAGTTATATTCTGTGCACGTACAAAAGTTTTAACCTCAAAAACTTCATAAAAACACATTTCAATGTTATAACTACATACTGTACTCAGACTTTTTTCCTGATTAGCTGTTCCTGTAACATTTGGTACTTTAGAAACTGTACTGGAAATTCAGCTACGTGCCMGGAAAAAGATCGCTTTTTAAAATATGAATATTAGTCATAGCTTGAGACGCTAGTAGCCCGACATTATAGTAAATAAATTACGTTTACATGTTCACAGTTATTTTACTACTTTTAACTTGCCCCACAAGACAAGTCAGTCTGACCAATGGCGGTTAGGACAAACTCTGCCCACATTGAAGAACTCCACCAATCACAGTTAGGACAAACTCCGCCCACACAGACAAGACACTGCCCCAATGTACTGCAGAGACCCCTATTTGGCTTAAACACATTTATATCAAAAAGAAAAAAATAAGTAGGTCCTCTGGATGGGTTCTTTAATGAAAAGTTACGTCTGTCCTCCAAGAGACTTCTTCAGTCTGAGGAGTTTCAGGTGAACTCAGCCTTATAAGCACTGCCTCCACATGGTGGACAAACAGGTTGGTCACATTCAAAAGAGGGCCATCGCCTAACAATAGGCTTGATTAGCTCTATTGTTCATATACGGTCATGAGCCCCATCACTTGACTATCACTGGGGCCCTGAATTTGCCCCACAGTGGGCATACTTGCAATAACAGTATTGTAGGAGGAGGACAACTGGACACCAAGGCCTCCACCTCTGTTTAATGGTGGACGTTTTTTCTTCACAAAAACCTCTTCCTTTAATCCTCTCTCAAACCAACGTTCCTCTCTATCAAGGATGAGAACATCTTCATCACTGAAAAAGTGACCGCTGGCCTGTAGATGAGTGTAAACTGCAGGGTCCTGTTTTTTTACTTTATTGAACGTATTGTCATAAAAGAAATATACAAAGTTATATACAAAAGAAAATACATTTAAAACAAAAATCAAACAAAAGAAGAACAATAGTGAATAATATTTATACATTCAAACAAGTGGGTAGAATTATAAACTCATACTGTACTGGCCTGATGATGTTGTTCTTCTGTGCTGGCCCATRATTTTGAACAGTCTAATGGATTACTGAGATGCATCAGGACATTATTGTTTATAGTTTTGAATCCGTTGTTTTTTTTTCTTCCAAAAATTGGTTGGTCAACTATAAATTTGTTTTAAAATACTGTATGTATGATTATACAGTAGTTTATCTTTGCTCAAAGTAAAAGTGAATATTTTCTAGTAAAATACCAACATAAATGGTTTGTTTGATAAGTAAAGCTGCATCTCCTCTGCAGCCAACTCTCTACTTGGCCACCATAAAGCTCCTGAACACTGGCATCGGACGTAAATTAAGGAGAATCATCCAGGCCTGATTTCCAGGTATCTGCCTCACGTCTGGCTCATCCAGCCAGAATGTGCCGAGCAGAGTAAGCAGTTTCAGCAGCTGCTCAGACGGCGAGAGTGATGAGTTCACTGGGATGAATCACCTGTCACCGGGGGCAGGAGAGTCTGGGCTTACTGAAAACAAATTACCTGGAGACTCAATCCCTGTGGCACGGCCTTGTTGAAATAATCCCCCCACATCACAGCAGGCTCTGTCAGAGGTTCAAACCGTTTTTGAGGGTGTCGGGATGTGATTGCGTGAGGCGCCCCCGTTTGGTTTCAGCTGACCTGGAAAAAGAGGTGGCCGCCATCCAARGCTGCGTGATGTAGCAAAGCGATGAAGTCAACATCTGCTGAAGGGGACCGGTATGCACACCGCTGTGAGGTTCTGATGCTGACAAACAGCAATGTTTAGCTTTTTGTGACTCATTCACTGATTCTGTCAATCTCCTGACCTGCACAAACCCCAGCTTGGGTTTTCAAAATAAGTCTTTTTCTTATCAGTAGAGTGAAAGCTGCTTCTCTACTCGTATACCAGAGTAACAATATTTTCTTAAAAACAAACAAAATCAAATCAATCTGGAGCTCCTGACAAGAAACAGATGGTACATTTATTTTGTTTTTCTTATAATCATTTAGAG